AAACTACTGCACTCCTTTAGATAACATCCATGAACATTGAAACAGTTAAAATAGCAAAGCCTCTAGCATAGGAAATTAAGGGGGGAAGGTTTAAGAAACATGAGAAACTGATTTGCGGTTTTCCTGAACAACTGAACTATGACCACTCTTGTGGTCATTTTTTTGGGTAAACTTTGTGTTTCTGTATGTTTTAATGAGCTACAGTTTTAATCATAAGGGAAAACATATGGCAGGAGGCAGATCATGGGCTCCAAGGGCTATCCTTGATTAGACCCAAAATGGCCAGATTTCATATGGATCAGAAGATCCCTAGTAGTGCAACAGTTTCAGTCCTGGAAATGGGGACTCCACCTTCCATAAAGGCAGGCAGCACTGAGCACTGTGAAAGTGCCAATAGGATCAGATCTGCCCCTCCAAAAAGCATTCTTGCTGCAATAGGGAGGGAGTTCTGTCTGACTAAGGACTGCTGAAAACTCGGAACTGCAGATCCAGCCCGCACTGCACTTTCAAAAGGCACTCCTGCCCAGGCAAGAGGAAACAGTGCTTGGAAAACACAGATCCAGCTGCAGCTCCATTTACAAAATGTGTCCCCTTGCATGAGGGCAGGCCGAGGATGGCCAGTTAGGACTGTGACATTAACAAAAAAGAGGACAGATGGATGATGTGAGATGGCAAGGGATATGGGTAGATGGTGTGTTTTGAATGAGGGTACGAATATGTGCATAAAGAATGAGGCATGTGTCTGAGTGCAAGGCCAGTGCACGAAAACAAACTAATGGAAAGGACTGAATCTCACACACCCCAAACATCCCTCTTTTCATGAGCACTGTGAAGGGGAGTGTATGTGTATCTCTATGGGAGAAGAACAGTGCAGAGTGGTGATGTCCTGAAGATCATCTCTCAACACACACACACGAATATATTAGGCAAATATATTAGGAGAATTCTTTGGATAGAAACAGTGTGCAACAGTAATGATCCTTCGGAGGGAAATGGAAGGGAAGGAAAGCAGTGGGGGCAGTTCTGGCTCTGCACATTGATGGCCTACAGCCCACAACCGAGTACTTTTGAGGCAATGTGGCCCTCCGTAGAAAATAGGTTGCTTCCTCCCAAATTAGACAATATGCCCTCCTATGTAATTTGAGAAGAACGCATCTTGTTTACAGCAGTAAAAGGGCATACAGAGACTCCACAAAGCATGCAGTCATTCTCAGCTGTTTCTGGCAAATACACAATCATTTCCAGCTTGATGAAAGACACTGTTGTTTGAAGAGGGCTAACATTAATTGTATGCGACCAGGCTTAAAATTCCTGCCTTTCCAACTGCTGGTGTTGCAATTCATATTTAAGCCTTGCAGCTACATATTTTAATTTAGAAAAATTCCCAGGGTTTCCCATCTGCCCCAAAGAAATTTACCAATGCACAGAGTAGGTCAACTGCTTCCAAGATAAGTTCTTGATGGCCAATTCGAGTAACTCCCAGATCCTCCAGTTCTTGGTGAGTGATGCGCAGTAGCTGGTCACCACCAATCTTCTCTCTCTCAAAATTCTTGATATACTGCTGCAGGCAATCATCAAGACCTAGAACAAAAAAAGAAAGAAAGATCATGAACAGAATGTAATTTTGCATGTGTGCAATAAGCCATTTGTAACCTAAATTAGACACTGACCTGGTTCACATGTAATGCCAAGCCAGTGTGTGTTAATTAGCCCACAGAGCTTCATGGGGTGTGCTGGTCACTCTTTTTAACAGGACAGCCATGTCTGGCATGTGCTATGTCTTGTCATCTCATACAAGCTCAGCTGGGTAATCCAAGAATTAAACGATCTTCCCATAACCCTTGAACAATCGGAGCTGAATTGTCTTCCCTCAGGAAATCCAACCATGCCACTCATACAAAGATACTGTATTCTGCCTGGCTTGTTCCTGAGTGGATGCCTGCTTTTACATGCCTGCTTTCCACAGTTCTGCTAGTGAGGCCTGATCATATCCCAGAGATGCCATTTCCACTTAAGTTCACCCCACCACTGAGGATCTCCTTCTGATCTAAGGCAAGTGCGATCGGCTAGAACACCCACTTTTTAATCTTTCTCCCTTGACCTTCCAATCTCTCCTTGTCAAATAAACTCAAGTATTTTGGCTTGTAATCTGCCTCCAGATTACAGTAAAGCTCCTCTTTATGGAAAAGCTTTTTCTTTTTTCAGAGAACTCTACTACTTTGAGCAAGTAGTTCAGTAGTAAACACAGTAGAGCTCAGTTCAACCCCAGACAACTCCAGGTAAGGATAGGCAAGTATCCTGCTTGGAATCCTGGTGAGCTGCTATCAGTCAGCATCAACAATACTGAGCAACAGTCTGATGCTAACCTGGTTCACATGACACAGAAAGTTATTCTGAGTAAAAATAACAAATAAATAGCCACAGTTCAGGCTGGACCCATGTGGCCGCTACTTTGAATATGCAAGCCCAGTCAGCATGGGTCATTCAACTGTTAAACAACCTTCACTTAGGTATCAATTAATACCAGGGTTGTTTAACCTTTGAATTACCTATGGTGGCTGGGTTCACATGAGGTGGCACAACTCCCAACTGAAGGTTCCATTTTCAAAATGGCAGTCATATGCAGCATGTGTTGTGGCTTATCTTAGATTCAACAGCCAATGACAGCTGGCCATGTCATGCACACCGGCCCTCAGTATAAGGTTGCTTCCTATGTACTTCTGTTTACACCTGTAGATTTGTCAAATGTGCTACTTTCCAGGTCTGCTATGCAAATGCAGAAAAGAAGAGAGATCCAGATAGGAGACTGATAAGTTACTAAGAAGCACTAGAACAGCATTTGGAACCAGTAAATCTCCATGTAAACTCATCTGGATCAAAGCTGAGAAGAAAACATGCAAGATTCTGTGTGTCACCTGCCCCTGCTAAAGCACATATGACCAAAGGCCAAACCACATTACCTAAAATCACATGAATGACCTTTTTAAATGATACAGAAACATGGGGGGGGGGGGCAATCAGCATTCCAACACTGAAAAGGAATGGATGGAGGCCCAGCCCTTTGTTGATGCCATCCCATTAGTCCTGACCAGTATCCTGTCCTGATTCTGTATAGTCCACATTACAAGAAAAGCTGCCCACTTCTGTATTTTTTCAGGTCACTTTCTTTAACAGTTCACATCCAGCCCTAGTATGTTCTATAATTCTCAAAGATGTTTATGGTTCTGGCTCAGGATGAATATACACCTTGCTTCAGTAGATCAGATAAAATGTTCTAAAGATGTTGATATGTCTGATATTTCTAAACGGAACCAATTCATTGTCTATATTAATGGGGACCTCAAGCAGTGCAGTCAAGGGCGTTATGGATCTCTCTGGTTTTATTAACTTCCAAAACTGAAGAAATGGCTGTAATCAAAGAAAAACCTA